ATTTTCTGTAAGACCAACACTCTTGATGATCTGTACACGCAAAAATAACTTGGAATAAACTGATAATCAGTATTGTACAGATAAAAGCATGTATAGTATAAATTCAATTGAGAAACCTTTCAATTTGGGACAGTTTTTTGATTGGTTACCCCCCAAAGACGCAAGACATTATGCGGATGTGAAAGTAGAGAATAAAGAATTACTGAAAGTTAATGAGTGTGGTGTCACAGCAGGCATTATTAAATATACAAAACTTTTCTGGGGCAGTAAAATATCCCGTATAAAACATCATTGCCTTACTCAGGGTTTATAGAAAGGTTATGGCAATTCTGTTTCTCATAATAATCAGTGTTTCAATTTACAAATGATGACAAATAAACTCAAATTCCTATAATGACATCACACTCATTTGCGATGGCACTTTAACTATATCTATATCTTAATAACATCTCATAATCTTATATAAATCTTTTATCTACTTATCATTAACGTAACTTTTGTAGTATACCGTGGAAAATTCTCACGGTTTAGAATATATCAGGGTAAACCTGAAACACGTAAAGTTGATGAAGTAAATGAAGACTTAGGGACAGAGCAGACGACTAATGAAAACCAGTTCACTCGATACTTCTCGTTTGCGAGTGTTCACAAATTGGTGAAGGATCGGGTACAACTTCACAGAAGCTCTTTTTTTCGGTTTGAAAGAATAGAACGCAAGACAAAAATTTTTAGCTTTTGAAAACAATCTTCCAAAAGTGCCAGTTTTTACCATTAACTGCTATTATCAGAAAAGTGGGCTCACATAAACGAATTGCTAAATATTTATTAGAAACAAAGGTGTTAGTAGTATTTCAGTGCATATTTAATGTATAGGGATTCACTTGCCTTCTGTGCATAGAGACATCCTGAGGACACGAGTCTTTCAGAAGCAGTTTCCTGTTGTAATTAACCGAGTTCCCTGAAACGAAAGCATGTGAAAGACCATAGCCTACCTCGGTGGTTTGAAACGCCTCTGAACAAACGTTTTCCTTTCTGTGGTATTTGTTAGAGGACTAATTTTTCAAATAACCAACTAGTCCTTTTGGTGGTATTTGTTAGAGGACCAAGTCCTTTTGGTGGTATTTGTTAGATGACCAAGTCCTTTTGGTGGTATTTGT